GCCACTCGTGCGAATGGAATGACACCTCAGCTTTTTTTAATGGAATAATGACACCTCAGCTTGTTGTGTATACTTGTTCCCTTTCTCCTTTCTTTCCCACTAATTTCATGATTTTTTTAGCAACAAAGTGACTTTTTCTTTGAACGGCAACAGAGTGACTTTATTATTAACTAAAGAAAGAGATTATATTTGGTTGAAAGAACTAAAAAAACAGGAGTACACATTAAATCTTTTTGATGTCATCATCTCCTACTGGCTATTTTTTATTTTTTGAGAACATCTCCTACTTCACTTTTACCTTGCACAAACGGCGAACTAGCAAGTAGATTGGGCCCTAAGAAAGTGTTGTTCCCCCAGGTCCATTCCTTTCCTGGCAGGTCGAACAACTTGGCAATTGGCGTCATGGGCCTAGCACAAATGGCAAAGCCACTAAGGCCCGTGTACTAAAGTTCTAGTATCTATTAATAAGACCTTGGGGCCCTAAACAATAATGGGCTTCCACTTCCACCACTGGCAATATAACCGAAGCTGCCGAGTCGAGGGTGTTTTTTATTCCTCTGGATAAAAAGGGCGGGCGATGTAAAGAACACAACAGCACACACAGCATTATTGGCACGCACAGAAACACCAGAAGCTATCTAGACAAGGAAAAAACTCCCAGAAGAGGAAGTAAAAGATATTCGATATTCTTCTACCCTCACCTCACCCCCAGCAAAAAAAGAAGGGGAAAAAAGTGAGACCAACGGGGTAAAGGGAGACATTCGATATTCTTCTACCGCGAGATCGACGGCTAAACGCACCCCGTCATGCATCCTTATCTAGAAACCGCATGCGCCTTTTCCTCAGCTAGCCAAGAACATTCCCCGCCTCGGGTTCTCACCACGAAGCTTCTTCGCCTCCTTTTCCACTACCTAAGACTTTACCACAAAGGCGCACGACACGCATGAATATATATAGTACGCCCTTTATTCCCAGCCCCAAGCGAGACCGATGGAGCGCCGCAAGTTCACTTACACGGTGACGTGTGGCTTTTTTTTATGGGATGGTAATGCATACCATGGTGAGTGACGTGACTCCATGTTGCTGCAACGAACGGCTGGGGACAAAAAGAAAAGGAGATAGCTCCACAAAGATACAAAACAAAAATGTAAAGGTTGCCATCGCCTATTGGCCGGCTATCATCACCCCGATCTCCAAAAAAACTGCTATCATCGCACTGTTCCAACAGAAAAAAGATGTAGACGCCATGGGCGGCTCCGGTGGCCTGCGGCGTTCTTCCCGGGGCCCCGGTTTGATTTGTGCACACGATCATTGCGCCTACGAGTACCGGTATTACGATACAGTGTCCTACGATGATCCTGCCATAGGTCCATACCATAAGCTCGAGTTCTAGACAAGTTGGTGGACACTATCTCCCAATGATTGTGTGGTTGAGTGTCACATTTCCATAGAAAACCTCCTGATGACCGGAAGAGAACCTTGCGCACCGCCGCAGCCGCAAAAGCTCGGTTCAGACGGCACGAGCTTAGCTGAATTATTGGAGGGCAATGGCAATGCACACTTGCTAAGACAAGTATCTCAAGACCACAGCCAGACAAGGGAAGCTGCGAGAGATGAGGACACCACAAGCAGTACTGCTACCACTTTTTCTCCCTATAGATAGATTTGCACGGTGTCAAGGAAGATCTGTGCAGGTGTGTGGCAAAGATAATCCATCAGTAATTATTAACCGTGCGGCAAATATCAGAGGCGCATCGTAGTAAACGAGCAGGCCCACGACACTTGTCGGCGCGCGCCTACTGAATATGGACGGTACCGGCTGGCGGCACAGTGCGGCGGCCAGTGCCAAGTACTGGCGACGAGATCTCACACTGTGCGGCGCTGCTAATTCATTCCTCGCACTTGCAGGCTGCTGCCAAGTTCCTTGTACGTACAGTTGCGTACCGACAGGGGAGGTTGACTTCCTCGGCAGAGCATTCAGTCTCGTGCAAGTGCAGAGCAGTGTTATTTTGAAGAGAAGTATACCTAACTGAACCCGTTGAAACTGCAAAGAAATTTTCAGCATGGGTGGTCGGCAGCAGAAATTGAGAAAGAGGTCGCCAGGCTTTTCACCCCGGGGCCCGCGTGTGTTAGAATATGTGAGGGGAGGAGCTAGATTTGGGAGGGAGGACGCTAGTGCGAGATGACGGGGCGCGGAGGTGTGGCTTCTAGACTGAAACTGCAAAGTCCAATCCGATCTGTATTTTAGTGGAGAGGAACCGCATTCCAAAATGGATTAGTCTTTGACCCGTGCAGTAAATTAAACTGACGAGCGTGGTCAATGCCGTAGGGGCGAAGAATTTGCCGATTAAAGTAAGTTCGATCCGATTATTATACCACCACTACTGTAGTACTAGAAAACAGCTGCAGGATTCAGTGGTTTCTTGCGGAGGATGTATAATAAACTGACTAATTACGCAGACTGAAGCGTCAGCTAACCGCTACCGAACTCTGATAAGTTTCTTAAGTTTTGGATCAGGAGAGGGAAAGATGAAGAAGAAAATTATAAGCATGGCTTGGCTATGACTGTACTGTTAAGTATGAAATTCTCTGTTCATCTAAGAAATTGCAGTTTTATCCTGAATAAACCTCAGGCACGCGCGTGTCACCTACCTAGAATTCTAGATGCTGCTGTTTTGTCCCGCAGAGTGGAGTGGTAAAAACAATCTACGAGTGAATTCCGCAGTGATCGTGGGAAGTGGGAACTCAACTGACTAAACTGAAGCAGGAGGTGTCGCTCTGCGTGTGGCAACTATAAACCTCTAATTCAGGGCAACTGACTCAACTGATCAAAACAGCCTACTACGCATCTGATCTGCGTGCTAGCCGTGCCCAGGGCCACGGATCGGCCAATGGACGACGGCGAGGACTCGACGTGGAGAGGGGCGGTGGCGGCGGCGCGTACCTGTCTTGCGGGAGCGGACGCGGGTGGAGACGGCGGCGAGCGCGCGGCGCGCGGGGAAGACGACCTTCTTGCGCCACCAGGCCATCATCGCGCGCACGGGCGCCGGTATCCTCGCGGCGGCGGCCAGCCTCGACGCCCACCTCGCTCGCTCGCTCTCGCTCTGGCTGGGTGGTTCGGGATGGGATTTTGATCTCGAAACGAATCGAATCGAACGCGCCCCTCCTGTCCTGGACTGACGCCGCGCGGGCTGATGGGTACTGTTGGGCTGCTGTTTATAGGCGAAGGCGGGGCAGCGGCGCTGGTTGTTGGTTGGTTGCACTCGCTGCGTTTTGGATCCGTGTGCTCTCCTCTGCTCTGCTCTGCCTTTTTATCCCTCGCGTGCCTAGGCTAGGGCTTTGCTGCTATCCGCACCCCAGGCCCCTGCAAAAAATGTATGGGTACATAGAATATGTATGTCTAATACATATTCCATCTGCCATGTGTTTATTGGTTCACCACGAATTTTAGGTCAAATTTTCAATCATAGTATATATTTGACTAGCCAAATATCTCTACCATTGAAGGGAGGTTGGCGTTGGTACGTCACCAAATGCGGTTTGGTCCCTCCCCATTCGTTTGGAATAATCTAAACCAAATCATGTTTTTCTTACCTTACTCTAGTGAAAACCCGGCACTAAATCAATCAAATCTTACTAAAATCATGGCCTGCATTAACTCAATTAACTAGATCAAATTTTACTTGTCTTCTCCTACTCATGCTCAAATCAAACCAAATCCTACCAAAATCTAGAATATGATTTCCTACAAAAAAAATCTGGAATATGATGGGTGTAGCGTATATGTCAGACACGATGGTGTTGAACCATTAGAATATGTATGCCCCCGTTTGCAACACACGAAAAAATAGCTGGTTAGTTTTATGCTGGAATAACTATACTTATATTTAGTCAAATCCATGGTCAGAGTTTGATCCGAAATATGAGGTTGACTAATAAACTTAGACAAATTAAGTACCCTAAACTGTTTCTTAATATTGTAAGTACAACATAACATAGATGCACATAGGCTCACGCTCATCTACTGAATTTTAGGCTCGGAAAGCTTCAAGATTAACGGAGTCACGATAAAGATCATTCCACCGACTATAATATCATCATGCTGAAAATGTAAGGCGCTTTAATGAGATGCAAGTGCAGTAAATGCACAGTTTAGTCCATGATGAACTAGGCATTCAACCAATGTTTCAATCTTGAGCCACTCTAAACTACGGAGATTTCAACACGTGGTACAATTATGATTATACATTGATCCGTCTCCCACCACCCTCCCCATGACCCCGTTCATCAAAGTGTGCTAGGGTGTGGTAGGATTGTTTTCTTATTAATACCATAATCATGTGATGTTTTTTAGTAAATTGCAGGTTCTATAGAAGATATATTTTTCGTGGCTCCTTGCAGATTAAGGACGGGCTACTCGGATGTTACTATTGCCAAAAGTCACACGCCAACACACAATCATCTCACGCTTTCAATTATGGAAAATTCTAGAGTGTGATCTGTTGAATTTCGTAGAAAACACGCTTGGGATTGTTTCTTATGTGCCCATAAAGTTTGAAGATGGTGAATGCACGCTCAATGAAGTGGATTGTAGTAGAATGTGATTTCTATAGAAAATGTATATTTTGTGGCTCGTCACGAACTATTGACGGGCTAGGTACTTGGATACTATTTTCAAAAAGGTGCACTCCAGTGCATGATACGTTTCCAACGTATCTATAATTTTTGATTGCTCCATACTATATTATCTACTGTTTTGGACATTATTGGGCTTTGTTATCCACTTTTATATTATTTTTGGGACTAACCTATTAACCGGAGGCCCAGCCCAGAATTGCTGTTTTTTACCTGTTTTAGGGTTTCGAAGAAAAGGAATATCAAACGGAGTCCAAATGGAATAAAACCTTCGGGAACGTGATTTTCTCACCGAATACAACTCATGAGACTTGGACCCTACGTCAAGCCAATTAACAAGAGGCCATGAGGTAGGGGGCGCGCCTGCCACCTCCCCCCCCCCCAGGCGCGCCCTCCACCCTCGTGGGCCCCCTGTTGCTCCACCGACGTACTTCTTCCTTCTATATATACCCACGTACCCCCAAACGATCAGAACAGGAGTCAAAACCCTAATTCCACCGCCGTAACTTTCTGTATCCACGAGATCCCATCTTAGGGCCTGTTTCGGAGCTCCGCCGGAGGGGGCATCGATCACGGAGGGCTTCTACATCAACACCATAGCCTCTCCGATGAAGTGTGAGTAGTTTACTTCAGACCTACGGTCCATAGTTAGTAGCTAGATGGCTTCTTCTCTCTTTTTGGATCTCAATACAATGTTCTCCCCCTCTCTTGTGGAGATCTATTCGATGTAATCTTCTTTTTGCGGTGTGTTTGTTGAGAGCGATGAATT